GGGGGGGGGGGGGGTTGGACCTCTGGTATGGAGGGAGGGAGAGGAGGAAGAGGGGTCTTTGCTGCTTGCACAGCCCTGACCCCCTTGGAATTCCAGCCCTCAGCCCATGGGGAGCCTCAGCACCAGGTTGTTTACTGGGAGGAAATCTGAATTGCTTTTGGTTGTAGATTGCATTTTGCTTTTATTTCAGTTTATAAATACAAATACAAACAATGCCTCTCACTGGAATAAATCCCAAGTTCCTGGTCATAGACAGAAATGAGATGCTCAGTACATATCCTTCAGATCAGACGCCACATCTGATGCTCATGCATTGGGTTGGGAAGTCCCAAAAGTGCTTTGCAGGCAATGGGGGCCACCATTCAGCACTGGGATCTAAGACTTGGGCACCTCCTCTACCAAAGTGCAGCTACAGGTGGGATGGGAGGCTCTGCTTTCTCCCTGGCACAGCACGCAAGGGGAATCACTGCTTCATCCCATGGGGAGAAGGAGCAACCTGCAGGCAGGTTATCCCCATAAAGGCAGGCACTGGGGGCTGAGATAGGGCCCCAGCCACCCATTAAGGGGACTGGTGATGCTGGGACCGTGCTGCTGGTCCAGCAGCCCCCGTCTCCAGCTGTGTTTAGTGCAACCCCTCATCCCCATGCTCCCGCAGCCCATCCCAGCCGGCGCTGGGGCCCGCGCCGCTGGCATCCCTCCTGGAGGACATGGACACGCCGTCGCTGGAGGGCTCCGTGCCCAGCAGCCCCGTGCCACGGGGCCGGACCCTGCCATCCACCCGCTCCGGCTGCACCCCGGCGGGGGCACAGCACCCCCATAAAGGCACCACAGAGGAGGATGACCTCTATTACGGGCTGCCGGAGGGGCCGGATGCTCTGCTCAAGGATAACGACTGCCTTTTTGAGCCTGAAAACTGATTTCCTGGAGGGAACGGATGCTTGGCATGGACTCAGCCCATGGAGGGGACACAAATGTCACAGCCTGGAAGAAAGGGGCTTGGGTTGTCCCCCAAAAGAACAGTAACTGCAGCGTGGAGGAGCCCACGGACCCCTGTGCCGTGCTGCACCCCTTGTGCCCACCCAGGTGCTTGGGAGGATGCCATCCATCAGAACCCAAGGGGAGCATGGCCACATCCTTCTGGAACCCATTGGGTGGACACGTGAACGCTGGGCTGGGCAGGATCTGGGCTAAATAATGTGCTTGGGAAGGGAAAGCATCAGCTTTGTGATCGGTGTGCAGGTGGGTAAAGGTGTCCTCACCCCAGGCAGGCTTTGTGAGGCAGAGATGTCCAAAAAGACTTCTCCCCACCCATTAAAGCCTCCTGGAACTAAAATCAGATCCTGAGACCCCTGCAGCAGCAGCCTTCATGCTGGGAAAGGGTGATGGGGGGGCAGCCTGCTGGCAGCACGCAGTCAGCAGTGAGAGCTGTGACCTCTGCCTGCCTTCTGCTGCTGGGGGCCGTGGGGATCTGCCTGGCTGAGCCTCTGCAGAGCATCTGAGCTCGGATCAAAGCACCAGCGGGTCCAACAGTGCGGGGATGCTGAGTCCCTCGCCCTGCTCTGGGAGAGCTGGGGTGGATGCTGCAGCCCCAGGAGGTTTGGGAGCACGCATGTGCTGGTAGAGCAGCGCTTCAGTGCCTTGAATCCTGTGTTCAGTTCTGGGCCTCTCACTATAAGAGAGACATTGAGCGGGCCAAGGAAGGGCCATGGAGCTGGTTCAGGGCTTGGAGCTCAAGTGTGATGGGGAAGGGCTGAGGAACCTGGGCGAGTTTAGTATGGAGAAGAGAAGGTTCAGGGGGGACATTATTGCTCCCTACAACTGCCTGACAGGAGGATGGAGCCAGGAGGGGCTGGGCTCTGCTCCCAAGAAACAAGGGATGGGACACGAGGAAACGGCCTCAAGCTGCACCAGGGGAGGTTTAGACTGGGTGTTAGGAACAATTTCTTCCCCAAAGGGTGCTCAGGCATTGGAACAGGCTGCCCAGGGCAGGGCTGCAGTCACCGTCCCTGCAAGTGTTCACCCACCACGGAGATGAGGCCTCAGTGCCATGGGTTAGTGGTGGCCTTGGTAGTCCTGAGGAGGGTTGGACTTGATGATCTTAAAGGTCTTTTCCAACCTAGCTGGTTCTATGATTCGGCAAATTTATGTGGGTTGATGAGCCCAAAGGCAGGGGCAAAGCTATCCCCCAGCACCTGAGGGGAATGGAGGATGGGAGCTGTGGAAACAACGCTCCCCATCCTTTCCTGCACTGGAGGGGGGGACAACCCAGGGCATTGCAAGACATGGCTCTGCCTGGAGCCTCGCTCCTTCCTGGTGCTCCTGCAGCTCCCCTCCACGTCACCGCAGTGCCAAGGGGAAAAGGGCAGGCAGCACCCCACGCTCTCGGGTGTTTATGGGCAACAGGAGGGTGGGGAGCGAAGGTGTTTGCTAAACACTGCCGGCTGGACTGGGAGCAGCTGCCCGAGAGGAAGCGTTACCCAATTGTTTACACTTGCTCGACTCCTGCTTGTCCTTCCCGGCATGGGGTTGGGGGGGGGAGCATGACGGCTGCAGGGATGCTCATGGAGGTCTGGAGGGTGCCTGGGACAGGATGCTGCTCTGGCTCATGTTGAGGGTGGGAGCTGTGTATAGAGCTTCTGCCCATCTCTTGTCCTGGGACTCTACCGTTTATGGCCAAAGAAACTTCATTTTTCCAAAGCTTTTAATTGGGAAGGAGCAGGGGAGAGGGCTGGGATGGGGACCAGAGCATCTCCACCCCCCCAGAGCCCCCTGGATTTGGGTCCCCGCATCCCCCGTGAAGCATCCCTGCCATGCCTAAGGGTGGGATGACCGCCGTGCAGAGGTTGCCGGAGCCGCAGTGCTCAGCTCGGATGGAGGTTAAACATTGTGAGAAGCGGGACATTCCTGCATGGCATTAGAGCTCCGAGAAGCGCAGGGCCCCGCCGCCCGCCCGCTGCAGCCCTATGAGGGTCACGGTCACGACACGGGCAGGGACGGGCCATGCATCCCCCAGGACCGCTGCTGTCGCGGAGACCTCACTGGGGGACTGGAGGGGAACGGGATGTGGAAGGGATGGGAACGGGATGGGGACGGGACGGGAACAGGATGGGAACGGGATGGGGACGGGACGGGGACAGGATGGGGACGGGACGGGAAAGGGAAGGGGTCCCGCTGCCGCTGCTTGCTGCTATCGCCATTGATGCTGCTCAGCCGAGACCAGGGCACCAGCATCGCACCGCACCAGTGGTGTAGTGGTATCATGCAAGATTCCCATTCTTGCGACCCGGGTTCGATTCCCGGCTGGTGCAAAACTATTCGAGTTTTGGGCTATTGAACGTTATCTGGAAGAACGAAATTGCACTGAATTCCCCTGAGCTTCAGGGATGCAAGTGCTGCACGTTTTGCCTCGGGGGCTTCACATCCCAGCATCACCCTGCCTTCTGTGAAGGACCCCTCCAAGCCCCCCTGGTGTTGGAGGGCAGCAGGGGATTTAGGGGCCTCTTTGCCGTTGTTGGGGTCTCCTCTGTTATCTTTTCTGCTCTCTTCTTCCTTCCCCTTCAACAGGACACAGGCACAGCCGGAGGGTACCGCTGCTCTGCAGCAGCAGGAATTGCCTCGAGTAGTGACCCTGTGTGCCAGCATGGCAATCAATCAGATCTCTTCTCTACAAGGGGCAAGTTTGGCGCTATTTCTGAATATATCTTCATTAAAAATACAGTATTTGTTCAGATATCCCCTCCTTCCAGAGGGCTGCGGGGCTGGACATCCCTCACACCCCCTGCACAGGCACTGGGGCTGAGTATTCATGGCAAGACCTCCCCAGGTTGCTCAGCATGTGAGGGTATGTGCAGGGCTCGGGGGGGCTTTGCCACCTTCACCCACCTCCTGGGCTCTCTCCATCCAGCCCTTGGAAATGGCTTGTTCCCCGTGCAAAAAGAAAGTGAGCGACTTTGGAGGGAGCAGAGGACTGTCCCCTTCGAAATGGGGCTCTCCAGTGTGCAGCTGCCCTGAAGGCGTCATAGAACCATTGAATTAGTTTGTGCTGGAAGGGACCTTAAAGCTCATCCACTTCCAACCCTTGCCACAGGCAGGGACCCCTTCCACTAGAGCAGCTTGCTCCAAGCCCCTGTGTCCAACCTGGCCTTGAACACTGCCAGGGATGGGGCAGCCACAGCTTCTCTGGGCACCCTGTGCCAGTGCCTCAGCACCCTCACAGGGAAGAGCTTCTGCCTTATATCTAACCTAAATCTGTCCTCCATCATCAGTTTAAAGCCATACAGATCCATATAAAAAATATAAACGCATATAAACCATGCACATCGTTGTAAAACATATATATCCATGTAAAGCATATACATCCATATAAACCATTTACATTTATATGCATCCATATAAAACACGTACATCCATATAGAGCATATACATCCATATAAAACACATAACCTCCGAGGAGCTTACAGACGGCTAATAAACCCCACTAAACCCCCATTTCCCTCGAAAGCAGGGAAGGGGAAGGGCTTTGCTGAAGGTCACCAGGGATAGCGGGGCCCCATGGGAGCCCGGCGCTGCGGGAGGGGAGGGTTGGAAAGCAGTGGTGAAGAGCCATGGGGAAGCACCAACCTCACCCCCAGTGCTTGCTCTGCGTGACGAGTGTGTAAAAAATGCCCAAACGGGATTAGAGGCTTCCATGGAAATTTACCTCTGAAGTAACCCAGCGAGAGGCACATGAAAGCCTTCTCAAAATAGCCCCTGGGTGCCTGCGCTGAGCTCCCTTCGGGGCGCTGCGGCCCCGGGGGACCCCTTACCCCCGGGTAAAGAGCCCTCGCCCCGTTCCCGTTAATGGTTAACCCGCACGGGTGGGCCGATGGGGCCGGCGGTGGTGGCGTGATCCCCGCCCCGCCGCGCAGAGCCGAGCCGAGCCGCGCCGGGTAAAGCGGCGGCCGCGCTGGGACCGCGGGGTTCCGCGGCTCTGCGGGCGTCGGGCCGGGCTGCGGGCATGGCCCCGCGGGCGCTGGCGCTGCTGCTGGCGCTGCTGCTGGCGCTGCTGCTGGCGCGGACGGCGGCGGAGCTGGCGGAGGAGCTGGTGCGGGAGCTGGGGGACGCCGAGGAGGAGGCAGCGGCCGTCGGGGCCGCCCCGCCGGGACCCGCCGCTTTCCACCGCGCCGCTAAGGTGACACCGCGACAGCGGCGGAAAGGAGGGGGGGAAGCGGGTACGGGGGTGTGTGTGTGTGTGTGTGGGAGCCCAGACCGAAGCGCTGCGTCCCCGCAGGCGGCTTGGCGGCTGCCCGGGCGGTACGTGGTGGTGCTGCGGACCGGCAGCGGAGGGGCCGATGTGCGGGGCACGGCGAGGAGGCTGCAGGCGCGGGCGGCTCGGCGAGGGTACCTGAGCGAGCTGCTGCACGTCTTCCACCTCCTGCCCGCCTTCCTGGTGAAGATGAGCAGCGATGTGCTGGACATGGTGCGTGGGGCGGCGGGGCGGGTGGAAGGAAGCTGCAATGTAGGGGGGTATAGGAGTGTGGTCACACCGCGCCGGGCGCTGGGTCTCCTCCCGCAGGCGCTGAAGCTGCCGCATGTGGAGTACGTCGAGGAGGATGCGTACGTCTTTGCACAGAGCATCCCCTGGAACCTGGGCAGGATCGTGCCGCCGCAGCCCGGCTCGAGTGCCTACAGCCCTCCCAGTAAGCGCTGGGGCATGGGGAGGAGAACCATGGGGATACAGGAGCATCCCAACTGGGACTGGGCTGACCATGGTGGTGGTTTCCTTCCTCTCCCCATCCTGGGCTGTGTCCCTGGTAGATAAAGGTGACCTGGTGGAGATTTACCTGCTGGACACCAGTGTGCAGAGCAGCCACCGGGAGATCGAGGGCAGGGTGCTGGTGACTGACTTTGAGAACGTCCCCGAGGAGGATGGCACCCGATTCCATCGGCAGGTGAGCACCGACGTGCAACAGCCCGGCAAAGAGCATTCCCCTGCACCCACTAAATCCTGGTCGGGCTTGTGGGGCTTCCCAGGACAAGAGGGACACTTGGCTTGTGGCAAAATGCCGGGCAGGACATGCGGGAGCGGGAGCTGTGGTCCTGGGGGATGTTGGGACCTCAGTTTGGAGTGTGGCTGAGCCTGGGGAAAGCAGTTTTGGAGTGCATGGGTGCATGTCAGGGTGTCTTTGTAAGAGGGAACTGAGGTCCACTCCACACCCGGGGCCAGGGCCTGTGCCCTGCAGTGGATGCTAGTGCTGCGTTGCGTGGCTTTATCACTGCTTGCATTAAGGAGCCCAGTGGGAGCACACTGGGAGGAAGGCTCCCTGCATCCCTGTCCGTAAGGATTTATTCTTCAGCGGGGTTTAGCTGGCGCAAAGCACAAGGGGTGGGATGGGGCTGGGGAGGACGCTGTGGGGTTGCAAACCTGCTTTGATGCGATGAGCAGAGGTGTTAAAGCCGTGTTGCCTGCCCCAGGCCAGCAAGTGTGACAGCCACGGGACACACATGGCCGGGGTACTGGGCGGGCGCGACGCCGGCGTGGCCACGGGTGCCAACATCCGCAGCCTCCGTGTGCTGAACTGCCAGGGGAAGGGCACGGTCAGCGGGAGCCTCATCGGTGAGTCACGGGCGCACTCCCTCCGCCTCATCCCCATCCTGTGATGGTTCCCATCCCTCCTGTTGTCCCTTCCAGGCCTGGAGTTCATCAAGGCAACGATGGATGCTCAGCCCTATGCACCGCTGGTGGTGGTGCTGCCCTTCGCCGGTGCCTACAGCCGAGTGCTCAATGCCGGCTGCCGGCGGATGGCGCGGATCGGGGTGGTGCTGATTGCAGCTGCCGGTAACTACAAGGATGATGCCTGCCTGTACTCACCAGCATCCGAGCCAGAGGTAAGGGCTGTGGAGGTCCCTGGGCTTGTCCAAGTTGGCTGGGGTTGGAAGGGACCTTAAAGCTCATCCAACTCCAACCCCCTGCCACAGGCAAGAACACCTTCCACTAGAGCAGGTTGCTCCAAGCCCCATCCTGTCCACATCTCCCTCTGTCACTGCCCTCGCAGGTCATCACGGTTGGTGCTACCAACAGCGAGGACCAACCCGCCTCCATCGGCACCCTGGGCACCAACTTTGGCCGCTGCGTGGACCTCTTTGCACCGGGGGACGACATCATCGGTGCCTCCAGCGACTGCAGCACGTGCTTCACGGCGCAGAGTGGGACGTCACAGGCGGCTGCGCACGTGGCGGGTGAGCTGGGCTGCAGGGTGGCAGCAGGGCTGGCCCTCCACTTGCTGGTCCTGGGCGCGTGCCCCTGCCTGTGCTGGGGACACCTTTGAGTGTTATAGTGCCTTGGGGTTGGCAGGATGGGTGCTACAGCCTGCTCAGAGCTCCCGCATCCCACGAGTGCGGGTAATGGGTTGCAGCGATTCCTTCTCCTGTCCCTTTTGAGTTGTGCTGCTCAGAGGTATTGTGGCCCCTTGTGCTCACTGTGACCCCCGGGCTCTCTGCAGGCATTGCTGCCATGCTGCTCAGCGCCGAGCCCCAGCTGAGCCTCGCCGAGCTCCGGCAGCGCCTCCTGCACTTCGCCACCAAGAACGTCATGGATGTGGCCTGGTTCCCTGAGGAGCAGCAGCTCCAGACACCCAACAGCGTGGCTGGGCTGCCCACCCGTCTGGGGGCAGGTAAAGACCTCACGGGCTGCTGGGTGCTCGGCAGGAAAAGAAGCACCTGGGTGAAAGCAATATGGTTTAATACAAGGTGTCCCTGCCCATGGCAGGGGGCTGGAACTGGATGATCTTAAGGTCCTTTCCAACCCAAACCATTCTGTGGTTCTATGGCAAGGCACATTCCTCACTGAGCTGTGCCAGGGATGGCTGAGCCCAAGCGCAGCTCCATGCAGAGGGCAGGGGTAGACCTGGCAGCGTGGCTGGGTGCTGGGTGCTGCTGTGGGTGCACTGCCCCCCATGTTCCCATTGCAGGGGAGCAGCTGTACTGCCGCTCGGTGTGGTCAGCGCGCTCGGGGCTCACCCGACACGCCACGGCCGTGGCTCGCTGCACCGGCACCGAGGAGATGCTCAGCTGCTCCAGCTTCTCCCGCAGCGGCAGGAGGCTGGGCGAGCACATGGAGGTGAGCAGAGCGTGTGGGGACTCGGCATGGCCCTGGGGTGCCTGCTGGCCTCCGAGGGGTGTCCTCAGGCCAGGAGCACCCCGGTGATGCCGTGCTGCCCCTGCCATAGGAGAAGGACGGGCAGAAGCAGTGCGTGGCACACAATGCTTTCCGGGGCCAGGGTGTCTATGCCATCGCCCGGTGCTGCACATGGCCTAGGGACAAGTGCCAAATCAACGCCAGCTCCAGGGTGGCTGAAGGGGCCAGCTGCTCCCCGAGGGACCACGTGCTGACTGGTAACACAGTGGGTTACAGACCCTCGAGCCTACAGCCTGATGGCCAAGGGGGTTCTTCCTGAAGAGCGTTGGGACCTGGGTGGCTCTGAGTGCTTGGGATGATGGGGAAGGGGGATGTGTGCTGCACGGAGGTGGGGAAGGCTCAGGGAACATCCTTTGGTGATGCAGCACTGGGATGCTGGCACGGGCACCCTGTGCCAACTGCCCCTCTCGTCTCACAGGGTGCAGTTTCCACTCACCCATCGCAGCACTGGGTGACAGTGGCAGACCCGTTGCAGGGCTGGAGAGGGAGCCCAGGCACTGCACCAGCAGGACGGAGGTGATGGCGCATGCCTTGTGCTGCCCTGCTGCCAGCCTTGAGTGCCGGGTGAAGGAGCACACATCCCTGGATGCTGTGGAGAAGGTAGGGATAGAATCATGGAACCTTGGAATGGTTTGGGTTGGAAGGGACCTTAAAGCTCATCCAGTTCCAACCCCTGCCACGGGCAGGGACACCTTCCACTAGAGCAGCTTGCTCCAAGCCCCTGTGTCCAACCTGGCCTTGAACACTGCCAGGGATGGGGCAGCCACAGCTTCTCTGGGCACCCTGTGCCAGCGCCTCAGCACTCTTACAGGGAAGAACTTCCTTATACCTACCCTGTGTCTCCCCTGTTGAAGGATGGTGCATGCTCCTCTCTAATGGTGTCCTCATCTCTGCTTGTCCTTTTGCTGCCCTAATGGGGTTTGGGTTGGCTTTGGCACCCCAATCGGTGTGCCCAGTTGCTGACCTGTACTGGGACAACCCCAGCTGGGATTGCTCCGTGTGACACTGGATACATCACCCCGAGGACCATGAGGGACGGGCAGACCCTGTCCCTTTGCTGACCATGGAGATGACCTTTTCTCCCCCATTAGGTGACTGTGTCCTGCGATGCCGGCTGGACGCTGACGGGCTGCAATGCCCATTCCCAGAGCCCGGGCACCATGGGAGCCTACGGCGTGGATGATGCCTGCGTGGCAGCCGGTGTCCCTGGCAGCAGCACCGCTGTGGTCATTGCCATTTGCTGCCGCAGCCGGCAGTAGGGATGGGCTGAGCTGGAGACACGTGCCCAGCAGGGCAGGGCTGGACCATCAGTGCCCACCTCAGAGCCTCCCCAAGGCTGAGCTGCTGGCAACCTCCGGGCTTGGGCTGCTGTGATGGTGGGGTACAAGCTCATCACCCTCTTGCATAGCAGGGCTGAGGCCCAGGCTGGCTTTGTAAGAGGTCTCCAAGCAGCCCCTTCGCAGGCCTGCTGCATCCCAGGAGTGATCCCAGCATCCTTCCCAGGTCTATGAACACCCCAACTGTATGAGCCATCTCAAAGCTGTTTGCATTATCACCCAGCATGACAAACCCCTCTAGCTTTAAAACAGCAATCCCGTGGTGAGGATTGCTCCTTTCTTTCCTCCTTAGTTGCTCATTACATGTCAGTCAACGCCGCTTTGCACCTGGACAATCATAGTTTAGCTATTTTGGGACAGTTTTGTAATTGCTCACCCATCTACCTAGGAGAATCGATTGCTTTTTAGTCAAGTGTAAGGGCTCTAGTTCAACCAGCCTGCTTGTTTGATTAGATTTTAATCTGCATCGCTACAGTCAGCTACTGCTTTGGTAGTGGGGTTTTTTGTTCTTAAGGCAATGATCTGTTGGTGTTCTGCTTTGCTTCCACGGTTTCCCTTTCAGGTCTTCCCGAGACACCCAGAAGCGGCTGTAATTCCTTTAAAAGACAAGCAAGAACAAAAAGCTCCCGTTGTAGCGTGGTTTTTACGTTTGTACCTTCAATATTTATTTGGAATTTTATAAATAAACATTTTATAAACGTCTTTTTAAAATAAAACTCACAGACCAGTGCTCAGTAGATCCCATCCGTTGTGTGGCTTCATGTACACCCCATGGGGAAGCAGTGTGCAAGGGGGAGATGACACCCACCACCAGGCAGGGATGCTGCTCCCCCAAAACGAGCCCTGATCCTTGCCTGGGGTATAAAGTGCCCCTGGGTGACCAATGGCCCCCTCAGAGGTCAGTGCAGACAGCATGGGCAACCTCCTGCTGGCTCTAGGACTGGTGCAGAGCCCAGGGGCTGAGCCGTGTTGCCCCATGCACATGCAAGAAGAGAACAGTGGGAAGAGCTTCCAGTTATGGAAACAAACCATGACCCAGCTTTCGGGAACGTGCCCTTGTGCTTCTTGTTGCTGTTGCTTAACACTGGGCTTCACTCGACAAGCATCAAAGCCCCATGAAGAAGATAACGCAGAGAAGCTCCGAGAGATGCACAGCAGCAGACACAGGCTCAGAAGTAGCAGAAGCTGGGCTCACTTTGTTTTCAGTGACTAGCAGCCTCCTGGTACTGCAATATGTAATTAGTGTGGTGTTACCTAAGGAGAGATGTAAAACTAAAGCACCAGGTTAACCTGTCAAACTATGGCTATTCGGGGGTGGGCATTTGTCCCCTATCAAAAACACCCTTACAGATCATTACTCCAGCTTCGTCTGGCAGGAGGAGACAGAGACCCAGTAGGAAGCACCGCTCTTTGAAAGGTTGCAATGATTTCTAGCTTGTTACCTCACGATGGCATGAGCCCAGCCCTAATCTAATCATGTAATTATATAATATGCATATAATTACAGCCCATAATTTCATCAGCTATAATCTGAGCTCCGCACGAAGAGGTGGAAAAGAATAAGGGATGTTACAAGAGCTCCTGAGGAGCACTGACACAGCTGGTAATTTCTCAGCAGACTTACTAGTGCTTAAACCTCTCAAAACACACATCAGGTATTTCACCTCTGCTGACGTCCCTGCGAGAGGGGAGGATGCTGCTGCCTGCTCCCAGCGCAAGCTGTGAGCACATTCCACATACAGTAAGCCAGGCAGAGCTTTTGCAGCTTAGCTCAAGCATTCATAAGCCTGATGGAAGAAAACAGAAGATCAGTCCTTGCTTAGTACTGGGTATGGGGGTAGGCAGAAAAGCCTTTCCAGTCAGAAGGCAGCCCTAAGCCCAGGGATGCTGCAGATAGTCCTGTCAGCACAGCATGCAATACCCAGTCTATGCTCCCATGACTGGAGAGCACAGGCTGGGTTGTGCTTGAAACACAGAAGTCCTTGTCCTTAGGGTGGAAGTCAAAGGCAGAGCCTTGATGTCAGCTCTGTCTGAGCTCCTAGTTCTGCTTATGAAGGCAGCATAGGTGAGCAGGACACTGTAGCACAGCTGCGTGTCCAGCATTCGGCACCTCACAAGAGGCAGCATTAATTCAAGCCCAGCTCACCTGCAAATCTTAGTATCTGACACATAAAAGCCAGTCTAGTCCATGACAGCAAGTGTGGGTAAATCACTCTGCTAAGAAGGTCAGGAGAAGAAACTGCACAGAGATACAAATCCGACAGGGCACCTGAACATGCTATGGCATAACGATACAGGCTCCAGGGGCCACTCAGCTGCTTTGATTTACTCTGGACAGGAACCAAAATGGGAATCACAGCAACCTCTCAGAGCTTATCACCTGCAGGACTGGCTTAAGATAAGAGGATCACCAAGACAACAGCGTAGCAGTGTGTGCGCAGTCTAAAGATTACACTAGTTTTCTGTGAAAGGAATAACTTTATTCCATTGACCAGGAATCCCAAGACTGTTCATCAAGACTGCCTATTTTTTCCAGTGCCAAATGTCTGCATGTATGAATTGGAGAGTATCTCCCAATGCTCACAGGCGGGCTGTGGCTGCTCTTCACTGAACATTGTGTAAGCTGTATAAAAACATTTTCATCCAAAAAGATTGGCAGTAAAAATTACAACATAGAAATGCATCACAATTTACACAAAAACTAGTTTTGTTGAACTCTATTTTCCAAAAAATAATCTTCAGCAGGTTCAAATGACAGCAGCTGGAAACAAAAAATAATGGACCAAGTATCATCTTATTGCAAATTATAACCATTGACTTTGTACAAGCGTGAGCAGAGCCATGAAAAAGTTTGTATTGGTTTCAAGTATACAGTGGTGATGAGCCATCCCGATGCAATTCTCTTAGCAATGCTTCCCTGGGGCCCGTGGTGAATCGAGGACGTTGTTTCCATAGGAAATAACAGGAACCTGAAGTGCCAAGTGGTGCCAACCCTTAGGAACGTGACCAGCTTCTTCCATCACCGCTGCGTACTCACTTCTTGTGATGACCCATTAACACAGTATTAGGGGTAGGGAGGGAAGGAAGAAGGGGTTATCTGTTGAGAAATGAGTTACCCAAAATTAAGCGGAAACATCACATTTAAAATGTCCCAGCACATGATCAGAAACATTTATAAAACGCTAACTCTGCCACGTGTCTATGAAGACGTGGCTTGGAAAAAGAAAGTGAGAGGTTCACTACAATGCCACCCTTCCTTCTTTTGCACGTGCAGTTGATGACAACGGCTCCCTTGACCCGCAATAAGTTATAAAGCTGTACAGCTGGAATCAGATCCAATGGTTACTTCCAACAGTGAAATGACTGGTTAATTTCAATATTAGTGCACAGGAGTGAAAAGCTGTCTGCTGCTGCTGGTTTCAGCAGCGGTATGTAAAAAGGAAAAGAAAAAGGCACTTTTTGGCTGGTTGTGCCTTTAACTTGGCAAATTTCTCTCTTCTGGAGGTACCCAGGCACTCCTTAAGATGTCCCCCATTTCTGTGCATGTTTGTTCCTAGAATTTTTCTTTTAAAGTAAGGCAGAATCCATAAATAAAGGCAAAAAGCAGTGCAGAAAATGCAACAAACGCAAAATGTACAACAGATGAAGAGCTATATGGCACAGAAAGAAGCTTACATCCAGAGCCAGAAATCACTGAACTGCACTTGACATGGAAAACAAAACTGTGCTCAAATCATCCCAACTGGTTTCCAGTTGTTTCTGAGCAAACAAAAAGAGCTGTGGTGTTTTAAACGTTGCCTGGTCAAGTGAAAAATATACAAAGAAAGCCAAATCATTCTTTCCCCGTGTTAAAATTGCTATAAAACCTGCACAACAGTGTCTCCAACTCACTCCAGGAATTATTCATCATATACAACCAATACCAACTTCCTCAGTAATTTCAAAGCACAAGCAAGTGATTGCAGATCCATGACCCAGACTGTGTTTTATTCAATATGTCTCCATAGCGTAAAAAAAATTTAATGAGTAAAACTGCAACAGAATTCCATCTTAAAGTGCTTTTTTTTTTCTTTTGAAGTACTCATTAACTTTTTTCTTCTTCTTTAAATTGACCTTTAATAATAAAGACTTGTATGCCTACAGCACAAAGCTTTGCTTTTATGGCCCTTCCCAATCGCCTGTGGTTTTGGAAGGGCACCAGAAAACATGACCCATTCCAGAGCTCCTTGACCAAGCCATTCTGTTCGGATCACTCTCCTTACAGAGCAATCTTGCTGAGCCTTCTCATCATGAGCTTTACAAATTAGCAGGGAGACATATTAAATAGAGAAGTCCTTATGTAAACCCATTCTTCAACTAATATTTTACAATGAAATGTAAGTCATCACACATCTTCACAGAAATTGGAATATTCCTATTCAGTATCATCAGAAAGATTAAAAATCTGCCCTCCATACGTAAGGGCAACCTGTTTGTTTTTGTTCTTTTTCTTGTTTTCCTGTATAAAAACCAAAAGAAGGATTTTGTTTTGCAGCATTACAGAAAAGCAACAGTTTTACATTCACTCATTTAATGTTCACATAAAAATTCAACCACTAGCGTTTGTGTATTTGAGAAAATCTTCTTGACCAACTGTTTTCGGTGTCTGGACTGTCATAAAGCTACTGCAGGCGAAGATGCAGTTTTCTAGAGCATTTATTGATCTGAAGCCTTCGTGGCTAAAGAATGCTTTTAGCTTTCAGGGAAACCACCTCCTCCAGCATTGCCTCCGATCCTACAAAGCCACATCTCTTCCAGACTGTTCTAATGGCATAAGCAACGGGACTCCAGTTTCAGTAGGTACCAGGCATTAAATGTTTTGAGTGGAGCTGTTCTTGTGTTCATAGGTATCCTCTATGGGTCAACATCGTCAAGGTCACTTTTAGGCTCACCAATCATCATAGGAGACTCTGAGCCCTTTCAATACACACAAGGGATGGGGAGAGAAAGATATGGTACGTTACTTTCTAAGGTACATAGTTACTGTGTCTGCATTCAGTGATGGTTCTGACCCAATCCCCAGGATCAAGCTGTCTAACAAAGCAATGCAACAGAAGATAAACATGCCCTCATTTGATTGTTACCTGCTGCAGATGCCTCTCCCCGTTCTCGTTGGCTGGACTACTTTCTGACCCATTACTGCTTCCAGACTGATCTTTCT